TCAAGTAAATATTACTAAAGATAATATTTCAATTTCTGGCAAATGTAAAATTTTCTTCAAGTAATTTATTTTTCTTTGATATAACTCTTATTTTTTACTAAATATCGTTATATTTTAAATAAATAATTTTTGATAAATATTCGATGTTTAAGATCAATTTCAAAATATTCGAATTTTAAAACTTGAAGTATTCGAATTTTCGAATTTTAACCGATAAAATGATTGGTCAATTTCAAAGTATTCGAATTTTAACCGATTTGGTCAATTTCAAAGTACTCGAATTTTAACATGACAGAACATTTTCAAAGTACTCGAATTTTAATGTGACAGACTTTTCAAAGTACTCGAATTTTAACATGACAGACTTTTCAAAGTATTCAAAGTATTCGAATTTTAACATGACAGACTTTTCAAAGTATTCAAAGTATTCGAATTTTAACCGATAAAACGATTGGTCAATTTCAAAGTATTCGAAACACAAAATCTGATTAATATAATTTAACCAAATCAGTAAAAATCTGATTTGTAAATTCATTTATCCAAATCCGTAAAATTCTGATTTAGAATTAATACCGTAGAAGAATTGTAAATTAAAAAAAATAAAATATAAATATTTAGAAAGAACAATTTGAAAAAGAAAAACTCAAACGAAAAACAATATGTTCTTACCACCTGAAATATTGTTTGAAACTCTTCGAACATTAGCTGACGAAGTTATTGAAAAAATAACATTCCATAAACATAATATTACTTCAAAGCAACATCCAAAACAGATTTGTGATAAAATGAGATTGATTAATAAACCCTTTAAATTATTTTTCGAAACTATCCTTCTTGATCGATTCAAAACACTTTTCGAAAAGAATCTGTTGAATTTTGCTCTTGATTCAACCATGCTATTATTTAATTTGTTTAAATATAAACATAATCATTATACTGGTGTAAGCTTTTTGATCAGAAAGAAAGAAAAACCGGAGTTTAGTTTTTGGGAAACTATCATATTAAATTTATTCGGAAACAAATTTGATAATATTTTTATCACAGATTTTATCATTAATTTAGGTTGTTTATATATTACATCTAAATATGATCGTTCAGGTTTCAAATATTCAGAATTGTGTAAATGTTCTGAAGAACAAAAACAAATTTATTTCAGAAGGTCAACAGATAAAAAAAAATGGTTCTTTAGGTGTAATAATTGTCAATATTTTCGAAATATTTATTTGTATTAATTAAATAATTAAATAAATAAACTTGTATAAATATAAAGGAAGGTATTTTTAATTCCTTCGACATTCTCTAAATTGTTTATTTGTTAAAGTTTCATCAGAATGTTTGAATCAACAAGATTGTTCCTAGAAACCGAATCTCAGAATTCACCTTGGAGGAAAATTCATCCAACGTTCACAATCAAAACATTTTGGACTTTTGGAGAATTAGGAAAAGGTTCTCACAAAAACAAACTTTATAATCGAATCCGAAAAATATCAATTGATAATATCGATTATTTTGAAGTTGAAACCCAAAAACCAGAAATGACATTTTTAATCGATATCAAAAATTATGGTATAATGAAAAAATATACTTGGTATAATCATAAAGCTGGAAATATATTTTATATTGAAACAAATGATAAAGATAATAACTATAAAATTTTAAAACTTCATCATTTGATTTGTCCTGAATGGAAAATAATCGATCATATAAACAGGAATGGTCTTGATAATCGAGAATGTAATCTTAGAAAAACATCGGCAAGAGAAAACGGAATGAATTGTAAATTACGAAAGCATAATTCATCAGGATATAATGGAATCAGTTTTGATAAATTTAGTAAATATTGGGGTTTTCATTGGATTGAGAATAATAAACATAAAGTTAAAAAATTCTGTATCACAAAGAACAGAACTAGTGAACAAGCCAAGAAGTTAGCAATAGATTTTAAAATAACTCACGATAAAATTACTGAAAATTTAAATGGAAAAGAAGTATTTTAATTATTTTTATTTATTACCGAATAAAATCTATAATTTACTTTTTTTAACAACTGTTTTCTCTAATTGGTCTGCTTTACGTTTGCCATTAGCTTTGTTTTTCAATTTTCTCTCTTTTGTATGATTTGAATCATCAGAATTATATTCACTTAATTGAGAATCGTAGTCTAAATTATCTAGTTCAATAGGAGGATTCTCGAGTTCTTGTTTATACTTATATAATTCTTTTACATTCGGATAGTCCTTTAAATAGTTTTTCTTGTATTGAGGGAAGTTTTGACGCCAATAAACTTTATCGTCTTTGAATAAAATTTCTCCATCTTTAAAACCTGATTTTTTGATTTTTTCAATAATTTCATCATCTGAAAGATCAGACCTTCGTAACCCAATATCAAAACCCATGTTTCGAAAATCCTCTTCTGATCCTTTTAAAAAGTGAATTTGAGTAGTTTTATTGTTCCAATTTCCAGTAAATTGGATAACAAAATCTAATCTTCGTTCAAACTGACCCCAATCTAAAAATAAATAATCAATTAATATTTAAATAAATAAATTAAATATTAAAAATATTCTATAACCTCTATGTAGGGTCGTGTTATCTATCACATTTCCATTTCCAAAATTAAAAGCCTCTTGTGGAGGTCTCCTAGAAGTCATAAAAACATATTTCGCTAGAAAAGGAATAAAGCCTTTATTTTTTATCTCAACATGTTCGTCTGTATCATTCAATAGCTTAACAATATCTGACCATTCTATTGTTGTATACCTAAAAAATAAAAAATATTAATTTTTATATAAATAAACATGATAAAATAAAACTCACCATTCATCAAACAAAACAAATTCATGTTTATTATAACCGTTGAACCAGTTCGAACCAGATTTTTGTTTCTGAGGTTTTGAATACAGACAATCGCCAAATAATTCTTGTATTAATCCACTTTTTCCAGAGCCGCCAAATCCAAATAAATAAATACAGCACGGACGCCAAAATCTTTTAATATTTGTTTCTCTAATCTCTTTTTCTTTTTTAATTAAATATTCAAGATCTTTCAAACTCCTAAGCCACGATCTCGATAATAAATCCTTTTTGTTCTTTAATATATCGTCTATAGTAAGATTATTTTCGATAATGTGATTGATTCTCTCAATATCCTCTAATCTCTTCTCGTTTAATGTATCATCACTTTTGTTTAATTCAGAAGAAGTTCCTAAATAACGATAAATTCCAAATTCCCAAGGTCCATTCTCAACACTTGTTAATTCTGAAGCTTTCCAACGAGCAAGAATACGTTTGTCTATACAGTCTTTAGTACAGACATTACAAATTTTTTCTCTCTCTTAGAAATCACATCTACATTTTTTTTTATGATTTGAATCCTTACAATGATTCCAAGTCTTTTGAGAATAATCACGATTCTTATCAGAATTACCATTTAAATATTTAGGGAAATTCATCGTTTGATGGTTAAATATTTTTTTTACAGAGGTTATAGTTTGGCGTTTTTCGAATTGGAAATATGCTTGTTCATGCAATTTTCCTGAGTCGGTAGATTCGTATTAACCCGAAACGTATATAAGTCCAAGTTTTTCTAATATAGCAAATTCCTCTTTTGTTTTTGGTAAAACACGTTGACATTTAATGTTGGATTCTTTACAAGCTGAACATTCAATTTCATTACACTCGTTCAATTTACAACATTGAGTACATTTTTTATCTTTGCAGCGCCAATGAGTTTTAAGACATTTATCACATTGAGGAACCTTTCCAGTATTCGAATATTCTTCCTCACGTTGCTGTTTATCCTTATCAGACAGATTTTTCTTGCATTTGAAACGAGTCAAACAAGGAATACAGTAATAAATAGTAGACATAATATGTAGAAATCTTTGATTACGATTCATTTAATTTTTTTTAAAAAATTGGCAAGGGTGACATTTATTCTTTTTATAATTTATTATTTATTAATATTTATTATAAAATTATTTATACAACAATGTTTAAAAATACCACTTTAGGAAAATACTATTTAGGAAAAATATTATTTAGGAAAAATACTATTTAAGAAATGCTATTTAGGAAATAAATTAATCAAATTCATCAGAACAATTTAAGAAATCGTATTCGTCTTCAGAAGGAAGTTTAAAATAATTTAATTCATCTTCATCTGAATTAACAAGACTCTCAGTATAATTAACTTGAACCTCATCAAGGTTCTCAATATTATTAACAAGAGCTTCTTGATTATTAAGGCCAGTATTGTCTACTGGAACCTTAGGATCTATATAGAGATCCTCAGCTGAATAAACCTGTTCAGCATAAAGGTTTTCATCAACTCCCTCTTGATAGGGAGGAACGAATACTTGGTTCTGATAAACCCATTTAGCACATTGGAAACTTGGACCAAAGTACGCTTCAAACTATCTGAATTCATCGATTAATTTATCAATAAAGTTATTCTTCTCTTCAATAACTTCTTGTAATCTGCTGATGTTTTGAAAAGACGCTTCATTGATCTCTTCAATCTGTCTTTCAAGTTCTTTACGACGACGTTTTTCTTCTTTGTAAATATCTTTGCTAACAA